ATTATATCACCGAGCAAACATAATAACAGAAGAGAGAGACCGTAAACAAGAGGACAAACACATACAACACGCTTTAAAGACCTGCAGATACCCGACATGGGCGATAAACAAAGGAAAACAACAAACAAAAACAGAAAGCAAAGAACAACCCAAAAAAAGAACCAGAAACCCAGAAAGACAAGAACCAAAACCAGTGATAACCCTACCATACATCAGAGGCATAACGGAAAAAATAAGAGCAACAATGAAAAAACACAACATAAACACACCAAGAAAGCCATACACAACAGTTAGAAACAGATTAGTACACCCAAAAGACAAAATATCAGCTGGACAAAAATGTGGAGTCATCTACGAAATCCCATGCAAAATATGCAATAAAACATACATAGGAGAAACCGGACGCCAACTCAATACACGGACAATAGAACACAGAAAGGAGTGCGAGAAAGAGGCAAATCGTAAACACACAAGAGCAGCAAAAGAAGAAGCAGAAAGTACAATAAAAAAGTCAGCCGTAACAGATCATTGCTTAAGAGAAAACCATATAATGGACTGGGACAGCACACGGATCATAACCACCGAACAACAAAAATACAAAAGATGGATCAAGGAAGCAATCGAGATAAGGAGACGTGGATGTGGGACCATGAACAGGGACGACGGAGTTTACACGCTGGACCACGCATGGGACGGCATCGTCGGAGAGGGGAGAGCGGGCAGTAGAGGGCGACAACGTCCTCTGCTGCCCGCAGATAAACGGAGAAGGAAGTGACGCGCCACCATCAGCGTCAGCCTGAAGAAGCCGGCAGCTGTCGGCGAAACCGTAGCTACAAACAGGTAAACAAAACTGTTTCTGTGTTTAAAAAAGAACGAAAGCATGGATTTACAAAGACACAGCAAGAACACACCTAAGTTGTTCAATTCAAGATGGCCTCCATAGCTAATTCACATTAATAAACGCAAGCGTTGCTACAACTCAGTCAACTTTACAGATAATGAGCTAAAATCTGGTGTGTTGGTAGTTGACACAAGATCTTGTTTATGAGCCTTAAACAATAATGACGATCCATAGAAATGCTAGGCCTTTAATTGTTAATGGAATTGTCATGAAATATAGTCTTTTTTTTACCCTGTGCACAAATAATGCATCACCAAAGTCCTCATATTCATTTATATTTATTTATATATATATTCATATTTATTTATAATGTACTGCTTCTAACTGATTTTAAATGGATTTGTACTTTTAAAATGAATTCTTATTGTTAGATAAGTTTTGGTCACCTCATGGCCCACAAGACATTTTATAGAAGAGTTTATTGTCTTAATTTTACAAACCACGAAAATGAATTTTCAGTCGCCATTTGCATAAAGCATGCACTTTAAAGTTGATTCTGTAGTCCTTGAGGGATTGTTAACATGTTTATTTGCCTTTACTTTGCAGATACACAATGCTAATTCCCACCACCTTTCCATGCAGTGTTTCGTCTGAGGCCACAGGATTAGTAGATGTGCTCAGACCAAAATCAACCCGCCTGCAGAGCTGAATACATAAATGACTAACGGAAACAAATTAGCTCTTCCATTCTGGGTTGGATGAGACATTATTGTAATTTTCTATTTATATTTTTCAGATTGATTTAGGGAAATAATTTATCTGTAGACCCTACTGACATTTTAACCCTTTAAAGAGCACCTATAGATGGATATGTGAAGTGTTTTTGCTACTATTATTGTAAATAGTTTTTATCACTTTTGGGATTTTGAAAAGTTTATCTCACCATTTTTATTTAAGTTTTAGAGAAGATTAATGGTGGCTAGGCTCCGGAGGTGGGTGAGAGCCACCCAGAGCTCTGGATGTTGTGTTGTGTTGGCTGACACGGCTCTGCAGTATCGCATTGACATCAGGGGCAGTTCCACTGAATTGGTAGACCAGGGTGGCAGTCCCCCTATTTAAAAAGGGGGACCGCAGGATGTTCCAACTACAGGGGGATCACACTCCAGAGCCTCCCTGATAAGGTCTATTCAGGGGTTCTCGAGAGGAACGTCCGTCGGATTGTCGAATCTCAGATTCAGGAGGAGCAATGTGGTTTTCGTCCTGGCCGTGGAACACTGGACCAGCTCTATACCTTTAGGGGGGTCCTGGCCAAAATGAGGGTGGCTAGACTCTCTCTTAGAGACACGTTGAGAAGCTCAGTCATCCGGGAGGGGCTTGGAGTAGACCAGCTGCTCCTCCACATTGAAAGGAGGCAGTTGAGGTGGCTTGGGCATCTGGTTAGGATGCCTCCCTGGTGAGTAGGGCTGTAGCGAAGCCTCGACGAAGTCGACGGCTTGATTCTAAAAATTTGTCGACGTCAGATCCGGAAGTCGACGCACCGCGCCCACTTGTTGCATCCCCAGGAGTTTGTAAATAGAGGAGGAATCTGCCTGTTTTTCCTCTAGTTCGCCCTCTTCTCCGCCTTCACTAACATCTCCGCCAAATACCGAAGACCCGGAACAACGTCCGTCCACTACTAGATTATTTTCCTGTTTTGCCCCTTCGTCTCCCGGCAACGGATAACAACTTCCGGGGTCAGATGCGCTGCTTCGTCTCTATCGCAGATGTAGAAAATCACCGGGAGCGCTTCTCCCTTCATCAAGGAGCTTCTTTCAGACATGAGGAGAGCTGTTTTGGTGGTAGCAGTCTCTCCTCCTTGCTGGTCTGTTTGCTGCTGGTTGTTTTTGGTTTATTTAAACTTGGTAACTTGAACTTAATGTTGGTAAAGCTACTGTTAGCATCTTCGCTAACAGCTTCTTGCGTTGGGATAAGCTGTTACGTTTTGGTTTAGAGTTAATCTTTTTTGTGGTGCAGATCTCCCATTTATTACATTTAGAGTGTTGTGGGTTTTCGGTTTAGTGTAAAATATCACCTGAGTTTGGTTTAACCCGTAAGACCACTCGCCTCACGCTCTTAAGTGACCAAAACAAAGCAGCATGGAGACACCCCATCTTCTACCACCTCTCAGGCAGCAGCCTGCACTCCCAAGTTCTACACGTCACCAGAACATAACCAACCGCAACACAATAAAAGCAGTGTTATACAAAATGGAAGGCCTGTAGTGTTTATTTTCTTACAGTAAGAATTTATCAATTTTTTTGAGGAATTTTAGATTTTCTGGTTTTTGTTAATTGTGCAATAGAAAAATAATCATTAGATTAATTTTCTAAATAGTCATTAGAATAGTCGACTATTCGATAAAATAATCGTCAGAATAATCGTTTTAAAAATAATCGTTTACCCCCAGCCCTACTGGTGAGGTTTTCCAGGCATGTCCAAATGGGAGGAGACCTAAAGGAAGACCCAGGACATGCTGGAGGGACCATGTCTCTCTGCTGGCCAGGGAACAACTTAGGATTCCCTGGGAGGAGCTGGCCCAAGTGGCTGGGGAGAGGGAAGTCTGGGCCTCCCTGCTCAGGCCACTGCCCCAACGACCAGACCCCGGATAAGCGGCCGAAAACGGATGGATGGAGATAAGATTAAAAGGATACAAGGCAGTTTTGGCTGGCTTTTAGCACTTCCTAGTGTTCAGTTATTGAAACCAAAAGGGATACTTGTCTCTGAGCTGTGTGTTTGTGCACCAGGCACGTCCACTCCACTTTTACTAAGTCCAACAGTGACCAGACAAGCATTTTGAAGTTGCAAGTGTGGCATTCTGACCACAGAGGGTGGTGGGGGTAAGACCTTTCATTAACCCTGTTGAGCAGTGGACCTAAATAGGCGGCCCTCGGGCCATGTGCGGCTGGTGTAATGAACCGCCAGCAGCGCTAAGCAAACAACCCCCCCATCCCTGGTCAGACTGCTGCTTCATGTTGTGTTGTGCATTATATTGTAAGCTTGTGTGTTTTGTGTATAACAGCCAATGCTACAAACAAGTTGAGGACCCCTGCTGTAAAGGGTCACTTTAGCACATACTAGCTCAAGAAAATGATTTAAAAACATGAAAACGTTTAAAAGTATCCCTTTAAGTTACAACTCAAGATTTATAAAATGCTAAATCAACATGCTCGTTTGCATTATGAAAGGTTAGGTAGTTAGATAACAATAATAAAATTACTTTTCTCCTTGTCTTTGGTGTAATTACTTAAACAACAACAAAAAAAATAAATTGCTAATACTACTACTACTACTACTAGTACTACTACTACTACTACTACTACTAATAATAATAATAATAATAATAATAATAATAATAATATAATAAAAGTAATATTTTTGGGGGTCAACAAAGACATTTGAAGTCAGACTAATAATTTCTTGTGAAAAATTGAAAACATTAAAGTAATTTATAAAGGAACATCTGCTTCTAGTGAGATTATTTACAGCTGGAGTTATCGGCGATCATTTCATACCTCTGTGTAGAAGCTAAATAATTACTGATATCAAAATAAACACACGTTAACAATCTGTCGTGGATCAGAATGAACCTAAACAGGCCTCTTAGCAACCAGCGAGACTAATGTTGCACAACCTTCCTTCCTAAACATTTGCCTGAGGTTTTTTTCTCCGTGAGTAATGCTCCTCTTCATGGAAGGATTAGGCTCCGAGGACTCTGCCAAGCGTCAGACTGTTACAGGAGGGATCGGAAACAAATGAGTGACTCACCGCTCTGACACGACACACAAGAGGTGTGCGTTCAGCTTTCTCCAGTCGGAGCATGGCACAAAAACTCCCTGACATGTTTTTAATTGTTGCCTCCTCCTAGTCATGCACGTCAGCTGCATAAACAATTAGGCTTCTGCCATCCGTGTGTAGGAATATGGAGATCTTCTTGGTGCATAATTTTGGCAGCAGAGAAACTCCTGCATGAGCAAACACAGTGCTCACATGAAAAGAGGAAAATTCAACTTTAGGGTGAAGATGGATAATAGCTGGCTCACAAAGAGGATTTATGTCATGAAAGCTCGAGGAAAAATGGCGGTATTGTAGTCCACGAAAACCAGTGCATCTAAACAAAGACTGATTGTGAATATATTCGTGTATTTATTATTTTTCTTAACATCATCGCTACCTCCTGTGCCAGAACCCACAGCAATACTTTATAAGGAAATGATTGTAATTCAAGGCCACAGAAGCAAGGAACCATATCCCCACGAGCAAATACAAAAACAGAGTTGGTAACAGGATTGCAACACCAAAGTGAAAGCATGTCTGCCAAGTTTACACATTCAAAGACCACAAACATCAAACGGGGTTTCCAACCAGCCGAGGGTTCCTGTGTCCACACGAGAACAAATAAACGATTACCATTTTTGTTCCTTTGTATTCATGGATGGAACTAAAAATGAGCTCACCATCTGCATGTTACACGTGATCGTTTTAGAGTAACAAAAATGTTTAAAGGGATAACTCGTCCATTCTGAAACGGGTTTCTGTGTAAGCTATAATATTACACATTTAGCTGGAAATAAAGTCTATGCCCAACAGGATTGATGAGTTAACTGCTTGTCCAATTCCAAATAAGACCAGCAGCAACAAAACGTAACATCTATTGATCGAGTCCCGTATGAACTTCCTAAAGGTGTGGTTCACTCATTTAATCAATACTTCTGCAGGGATTTCTAGTAGGAATGAATGGCTTGTGAGTTGTACTCCGGGGGAAGAAATGCTCCAGTGTACCTGTTTCAGAAAGTAAAAGTGAGTCACATCACAGCTGAGCTGATTTGGTCTTAATTCCTGATATTTGGACATCTCGCTCCTGATTGGCTAACAGCAACACAACTCTATTGCTAACTCTGTTTTCTTTAGCAACGTTGATGTTTTGTCTCCACAAATAACACAAGCCTGGAGGAGTTCTGCTGTGTGGTGGAGTTGCTAATACTAACAGTTAGCTTCTACTAGCCAAGATTTTCTTTGCTGTTTCCTGAGCGCTAAACCAACAACAGCCTTCCCCGTCGAGTCAAGATGGGCGACTCCATGAATGTTAAGTGACAGTGTGACATAGATCGGTCAGGATTTTCTAATCCTAGAGTTTCAACGTCTATTTTCTATCAGAAGCTAATGCAGGAGATAGGTGTAGGAGACTGTTTTCATGTTCAGCCTGCATGAAAAACTCTGAGTGACTGATCATAATCAGAAATAATGATAAAAAATAATTTTTCAGCGAACCACACCTTTAACATTTATGCTTAAAAAATATGTATGTGCTAAATTTGTGTTGCTGTAAAATCATGCTAAAGTAAATCAATGTGAAATTCAGGAGACTGGGGCTCTTTTACGATGGTAGCAATGATGGGAATTTTTCCGGAAAGCACATCTGTACTATTTGAGTCAACGCTACTCGCACGCTCATTATTTTCTGTAAACTGCTATAATGTCCAAAATGTGACAACATTTCATGCAGTAATATATTTTTAAACCTTTACACTGACAATGACTTTTGGATTCACCGGTGTCTCCGGATACAAATTTCTCTTAATAACCTTATAATTCAGCTTAAGCAACAACGAACCGCAACATTGATGCTACCGTAAAGGTTTGTGATTTAGCATTGATATGAGCTGGTTGCTTAGTCCTGTCAAATGTAAACTCTGTTTCTCCAAATTCAGGAAGCTACCCATAACGGGTAAGAGTCATTATTTATAACTTTTACAAAAACACACTTCAAAAATAACTGAAAAATCCCTTCAAGTGAGACGACATCAAAGCAACTGTTTAACGTCACAGAGCAGAAATGGTCTCTTTCTCTTTTTTTAAGCTATACTCATAAGTCAGTGTTTATTGCAGAGCCCGATTTACTCTTTACTAAAAATATGAATAAAACCCATCAGCTGACTGGGTGAATGCTTCAGGAACTGGAAACTTGGGCTGTTTGCATTTCCTCTGGTTCTTTAGAAAGAAGGTTTCACCACAATAAAATACAGCCTCAGTTATGCATTTTGCAGATTAATATGAGTCGCTGAAGGGAAAGCTTTAAAATTTCATTGACTAGAAATGTGCCAGGGCTGACAGTTTTCTCTCCTTTTTATTTAGTTTGATCCCCATTAAGCACTTCCCTCTGATTCAATAAATGCTAAAGGGAGTCATTAGAATAATCATATTCATTCTCCATCCTTTGGGATATGTGTCTTTGGAACCCATAAATACTTCTCACGCACATTCTCCTAGACCTTATATCTTCAGAGGTTTCATTCCAAGCTAATTTAGGACATTACAGTAAAAAGTAGCTTCAGAAAATGTAGACTCCTGTATACAATCAGTCTAAAGAGTCCCTGCAAAAGTGCTGAACCACATCGTGACATCTTAGAGCTTTAAAATAAAATCTGTCTACTCATGTAATAAAAATACAATCATATCATATTTGTTTCTATCAATAAATTCCCATTTCTCCCTTGGTTTGCAGCATTTTTTCATACAATTTAAAGGGAAAAATTACAAGGTTTGATAGTAAAACTGATCTAAAACATCTTACACCACATTTTTTTGGTAAATAATCTCCAGGCGAGAAACAAAATAGGAAAACGGTGAATAAATACCAACATGAAATATGCACAAACATTTCTTTGACACCACAAAGTCGCAGTGGAAAATCTTGAACTAAAACAGTAAATAATCTACGACATTTATCCTGAAGTTGAGTGATAATCCACTGCATGTCGGACTCGACGGACGAGCGCTATGGGTAAACACGAGCATCCGCTGGGGGGTAAACAGCGTAAGCTCTCTCCCACCAACTTTTGAAAATTAAGTATTCTTCCCTCGCAGACGTCCGTAAACACCCCCCACTGAGAGCAAACACGTGGACGCCGACAGAAGTTCCTCAGCTGTTTTTAAAAAATGAATATCAGTGCAAAAGAAAAAATGTCTGACTGGCAGCTACAGTAAACTGGACAGCTCTCTCTCTAAGCATCAGTTAACTGGCAGACCTGGGATAACCCAACCTCTTCAACACCCCTCCACATATGTCCTCTATCAGTCTGACATCCTTACGAGGCATTTTCTGCCTCCAGACGTTGATGGTGGCTGGTGAGATGTCCCCCTCGTACATGAGGTTGTACAGGTTCGTGGAGGTGGTGAATATAAGCTGATTGAGAGCTGCGGGTGACACAGGCACCCCCAGGAAAGTGTGTATGGTCTCTGCCGTCTCCTGAGGGAAGCTGACGACATCCTCAAACCTCACCTGGAGGTACGATTCCTCTGGGAGACTCACAGTGACCCGGAGAGCTGCCGCTGTGTGAGCAAGCCACAGATAAGCCAGAATCAGAACAGGGTTTGTCTCGGAACGGGACAGCAGCCGCTGGATGATTTTAAACTCTGAGGCAACAGCTGGACAGCCAGAATCCTCCTTGAACATCAAGGAAAGGTGCTGTGGGATGTTTTTCAGTGAGTAAAGGCTAGGTTTACTGTTATAAACCATGAGATAAATCCACGCACGAGGGTCTCGAACCAAAAAGATCGTCCTCAGAGAAGGGCCCACCACTTCCTGAATATAAGGAAGCTTTAGTGTCCAACTTCCACTCCGCATGTTGAGGACCACCCGAGCGTTAGGGTACTCTGCAACATGGCGTTTCATCTCCCGTATGTACTCAGCGTCCCTGTCCAGGCTGGTCCTCAGTTTGCCCTTCAGCTCAGATGCAGGTTGTTCTTTTCGCCTGGATCTTTTCTTTCTGTCTCTAGATGGGTTGACTCTCTGGAGCTGTCTGACCCTGCTGCCCTCTACAAGCTGAATATTTTGCAAATGCAATTTTGTGTTGTGCACCAGAGAATGCAGCCAGCCCTGAATAATCTTAAACCGGCCATGTGCAGCATCTGTCCTCGACCACTCACAGCTGTCAACGAGAGAGTCAAACTCAAACTCTGTCTCAGGAATGTCCACGTGTTCTGTCGGAACCCTTATGTAGACAAAGTCCGAGTTATTGTAGAAAAGGTGCTTGAGTATTTCTGACCCCGATCCGGGTAGGGATGTTAAAACAACGGTAGGGAGGGGGAGACGTTGCAGCTCATACAACCTGATTTGTTTGTTTATTTCACTTTTGGCATCAGCGCCTTTCCATTTTACCCCACAGAGGAGCTGATCGCAGCTGTTGGATAAAAACAGCAGCTCGACTATCCAGAGAATGAGCACAGAGAGTAGGGCGTAGCGCATCAGCCTGCTGAAGCACACATAAAACTTTCTCTGCATGGTCAAAAATCCGATGGCCACGCAGAGGACAACCCCTGCCACCACATTAACTGTGAAGCCAATGTCAAACAGCTGACTATCACTGGTAATTTGTTTAGGGATGAGTTGTGATCCGAGGCCGAACCTAATGATCTGATATCTATCCTCGATTTTACAGTGACCACCAAATCCGATAAAAGCCGACCTTGCCCCGATGTCTTTATAGTTTGTAACTACTGAGACAATCTTCTCTGTGTTATTTATGGTTAACGAAAGTCTCACCCCATTTTTGCTGCTCTCTATAAATCTACAGTTAGACACCTTAACATACGGCCCATGCAACACGTAAGCCACCCTGCTGACTGAGCTTGTCATCTGAAAAGTGACATTGACGTACTGAGTCCACCTCTTTTTAAACTCTGCCGCCTGCTCGGCTTCCTGTATCCTGGTATCAGGACTGTGACCCCGGCTGTCAAACCAAAACATTTTATAATGAGCATCCCACACATCCATCATCGCGCCATTGAACCTGTCCATAAATCTGAAGGGGACGTATTTGAAGTCGATGTCAAGATTGTGAAAAAAGGCACTGAGAGACGCCACGGGCGAATTGTCCCGCTTCTCCACATGGTCGAGCACTAAAAGAGTCTGTGAGTTGAGCAGAACCAGGGCTCTGAAAACGCTCTTTAACTTCATGGCAGGGGAATACGCTGACACGGCTTCTCCACTCACAAACATAGTGTCCCCATGTGAAGAAGCAACAATCACTTCACCTCTGGCATCCCCCACGCCTTCGTCGGTCCAACGCAACCACTTGGCGCATTCCCCCAATTGACCCTCCCAAGGACTGTTACACTGGCTAGTTGGAGACGGACTAAACACCAGTACGTTGTTTAAATAGCTGTATTTTGGACCATAAAGTGCTTCAGACACAAACACTTGTCCGTTAGGGGCAAATGTGAAAGAGTTCTGATCTGGATGCTCATGGCCGGGGTTAAAGCTGTTCCAGCCATCCACCCAGGAGTAAGGCTTGTCATGAACAATGTCATAAACTGCTCGCCCACCCAGCCTGCCGGACTTAAAGGACACAAAAGTATTATTTTGGCCACTGGGAAGCCCTGCTCCAAAAGTAACCACCCCCCAGTTAGAAAAAATATGCATCCTTGCTTTGCCAAAGTCATGTGGAGGTTGTGGCGTGAGGTGGGAGTCGAACCAGATGTACTCGGTGTGTAATGTGGCCCAGCGCTGGGCAGAAGACTGCCCCATGGGACCATCCTTTGGCCTGTGCTTTCTAATCTGTTGAGCCAGCCAATTCCCTGTCCCATTCTTCATGACGAATGTGTCGAGGAAAACGAGCTGGCTCTCTGGACCGTAGAACCAGTTATAGTTGGAGTCTGCAATGCCAATCGTTCTCTGAAATCCTGGCAGGAGAGTGGCGTAATAAAACCAGAAGTGCCCTTGCAGCCAGTTGTTTTGCACGTTATTGATATTGAAATGGCGCTGGGCTAAAAAGACATACTGCATGATGGATTTAGCCGTGTAGCTTCCGTAGGCTACTCCCTCATCCAAAGACCCATCGACCACATGGTTCAGCAGAAACATCGTTTTCTCCATGTAGTTCACTGCTACTTGTTTCCATATCATTGACTCTGGGTAATTGTGTGAACCCACAACTATCGCACCAGTCAGAACAGCCAAAATATTAGTGGTTTGATGATTTTGGAGGTACTGTTTCCCCCATGCTCTGTACTTTGAAAGCTCATAAAGTGCTTCTGTCTCTGAATGAATTTTCTTGAGGTAAATATCCTTCCTGTGCTCATCCAAGAAGGAGTAAATAAAGTCATAAGCAGTGGCAAACCCAGTTAGAGAGTGTGCCATGGGGACTTCATCGTTCGGCGCACTGGTCACCTTCCAGTCCGGGTAGTCAGCCATCCTATCCATAAACTTTATAAGAAACTGCAGGGCAGCGGAGTCCTCGGGGCACAGCAGGCAGTAGAGAGCCAGCGGGGGCAGGTTGTTCCCATAAATTTCGTTCCACTTGCTTGTAAACTCCTCGTGTTTCACAGGAGGCATGTAAAAGGGGACATTGGACAACATGGTGATAACAGCTGCCCGGATGACTTTAAAAATGTGACCGTGGGTGGTGGAGGACCTTTGCCTCAAGTGCAAGACATCCACTTGGTTAAAATACAGGTTGGGATGGGAATCAGCAGAGCGGTGCTTCCACTGCTCAGTCACTCCTCTGTCTTGTATGAGCTTGACCTGGAGCAAGTCATCCGTGAAAACGTCTCTGTCTGTGGCGTTGAAGACCCCCGAGAAAGCCGTCCCCGGGGCAAAGAGCGGCAGTAAAAAGCATACAACCCACATCCAAGCCATGTTGCATGGCATCAGTACATTTTATAGTTTAAAAAAAATCTTATCTGAAATAGTTGCTGTAATGTTCCATCAGGGGAAGCTGGGACTTCAGAGTAAAAGTCTGGTGTTTTAAATCCATTGTGTTTAAAACTTTAGTGCAAAACATTAATTTGATCTTTAAATACGTGTCAAAAAGGCAGAAAACGTTTACATTTCTATTTCTGGTGAAAAGAGCGCCTTAGGGTTTTGTTTTTGAAATCCTGGAAAGACAAATCCTCATGTTGTCCTCTTTGGAAACAGGTTGCTCGTTAAACACTGGCACCTCCAAGCCTTGCCAGGAACTCATGATCCCTTCAACATTTCCCCTCAAACAAAACCAGTCAGCCCCAGTCCGTGTCCGGTCCAATCACAGCCGTCCATAGGCTCCGCGAGCAGCCCGACCGAGCTGCACCATCCGCGGGCAGGAATGTCAGCATCTCCGCTGGCAACATCGCTCCGTCTCCGTCGCGCGCCCGGTGCCGCTGCTGCTCCAGGCTGCACACAAAACTGTTTGCATCCCCCTTTCCTCCCCTCTTCAGACAGAAAGTTGTCGTCACTCCTCAAATATTCAGGAAATGGAACATTTTCCACACTGTCCGCAGGAAACTGGAGAAAACCTCCGCGGACCACTCCACATGGATGTGCGTCCTTGCTTCAGCCGCGCGCGCGCGAGAGAGAGAGAGAGAGAGAGAGAGAGAGAGAGAGAGAGAGAGAGAGCGAGAGAGAGCGAGAGAGAGCGAGAGAGAGAGAGAGAGAGAGAGAGAGAGAGAGAGAGAGAGAGAGAGAGAGAGAGAGAGAGAAAGAGAGAGAGAGAGAGAGAGAGAGAGAGAGAGTGAGAGAGAGAGAGATAGAGAGAGAGAGAGAGAGAGAGAGAGAGAGAGAGAGAGCGTGTGATCTCCCCTTGCGCCTCCCGTTGTGTCCTCCCGACTGTTCAACACCGTCTGTTTGATTGTTTTCCTTCCCCGGGTGGAAAAATTTTCACCGTAGGAACTGTAGAGGGAGCCGTGACTTCAGCAGCGTCAGGCTGGTTCATCCTCCTGGCTTAAAACCATCCAGATTCCCTCTAAAGTTCTTCAACTCCATGAATATTTCATGTTCTATTAAGGAAAACTTTGTAACACTGTCTTTTGTCAAGTCCGGCTCTCATCCATACATTTAAATCAAAGTTTAACTCATATGAAGCAGATCTCCATCTATTTATTTGCTTTTTTCAATGGTAAACACAATTGTGCTGACATTTAATTATATAAATTAACTCAAATATTTCCAATTCATAGAATTAGGAATAGAATTTTTTTTACCCAATTTAATAATCTAAAACCCATTCATCCACATACGATATTGGCTTCCTGCAATTTATTATTTTATTCCATGCGTTTAACTTCTCCACACTGAAGTCAAGAGACAATCCCAAACATCCCTCTCCCCAGCTCTTTCCAAGGTGTTCCCGGGACAGAGAGGACATTTAATCCCTCTAAGATTTTTTTTTAATTGGGATGTGCCTAGAAAAGCTCCAGAGGTGTCATCTTAATCAGATGCCCAACCCACTTCTCCTTGGAAATTTGCAGAGGTCAGGAACTCTGAAGTACAATCATGCAGGTGACTTTCCAGATGTGGGAGACCAGAGAACCATTCTAAACCTCAGGTCTTGGTAGTCTATACAAGCTTGGTGTGCAGGAAGTCCCCTGGGTGTAAACCAGCACCTGCTGGGAGAGGAATCAGGGTTGGCTGCAGGTGAGGTGGCAGGAATCTGGGTGTGTCATCATGCAGTATGTCTCTTAGGTGACTCTAGTGGCATAGACAAGTTTGTTCTGTTCAATTTGAACATTATCAAAGCTATAATCATCATTGCTGTTATTAAAGAATAATGAATGGCCTCAGTTTGGTGAGTTAGAGCAGGGGTTCCCAAAATATTTTCTTTGAGGACCCCGTTGCTCATGTCCAAGACAAGCCAGGACCCCCTAGTCCTACACACATACACACATGAAATGTGATCATTTACTATCTTTATACAGAGGTATAACTTATTTATGGAGTTCTGATTATACTGTAGGGAATGTTATTGGGATTTTATAAATGTCATTTTTTTCTAATGAAATCTTGTTAACCACACAACCTTAGCAAAGGCAAAATTGTTTGGACCCGCTGCAATCTTGTGGGGACCCCTCGGGGGTCCCGACCCCCAATTGGGAACCCCTGATTTAGAGGACTCATGAGCTATCTGCTGGTTCAGACAAGACTGGATGTTGGTCCAGTTGGACCGTATTATGAGAAATTACATCTGCTACAATATTGCATGTTGATGTTGATGACAGGAAGTTGCAGCGACTTTAGTAGTGTGTTGGTGAAGATTTTTTATAACTAGAAAACACAATAAAATACAAAACATTCTAATGAAATTGTGCGTATGCTTAAAATTAGTGAAAAAAAAGTTTAAAAAATACAAAAAAGTTTGTTGGATATAAGTTCTAAATTTGCATATTTTGTGGCACCACCTAATAAAAATGTTTGATTTAGATTTTCCCCATTAATGGAAAGTTGGTTCCGCAGTCGTTCCATCAGTGGAATGACTTCCATTGACTTTTGCTGAATACATTTGTAAAGTTTTGACTATAAAAATATGTTTAAAAGAATTGAGGGAAATTTGGGTGAATTTTGGATTTTTGAACTATAGGTTTCCTATAAAAGTTGTGAATAATTACAACAGAACTTTTTCACAAGGCCAAATCCCATTTATGTTTATGTTTATGTTTATTCATTTCGCAGACGCTTTTATCCAAAGCGACGTACAAGGTTGTTTTTTTTTTCTACGTTGAGGGAGCAGTCACCATTTCAACCAGGAAAATAGAAGAGGAACGTGTTCCAAAATCAAGAAGAGTGCAATTTAAGTATAACCCCAAATCACCAGTCCTGAAACAAGCATGAAAATTTATCAAACAGACTGATTTTTTAAAGTAAAGTTAATGTTTTGTTTCACACATGAGAAATGGAAACAAAAAGTCAAATGAATTAAGTAGTTTGCTTTGACCAAATAAATGCTGATTCCCAAACACCTTTCGAATGAAATGTTGAATGGCCTCTCTCTTTAATCATGAGCTGCTTTCTCTTTACCACCGTGTGCAGGACGGCATCCCTCAGGGTGTACTGTTGGTGACCCTTTTTCCTTTACGAAACTTGACAGCACAGGCTCACTGCAGGAAGCATGCTGGTAAAAGCTGTGCAAACGGAGAGAAGACAGGGAAAAAAATCACTAACATCACCCTTAAATTCAATTCAGCCCTGATCCTATTTGTGAACATAAATACTATTGCTTTATATTTAATCAGAAAGTTTAAAAATGTAAAAAGAACTAAGTATAAATTAGCAAAAGTTAATTATATCATCCTTCAGACATGTTTATAATTATAACTGAGTTGAAGCATATTTATCAGTCCTACAAAATATTGTTGGGGGGTTTCATTTTGTATTTTTACCGCCACAAAAAAAAACTTGTGACTGTTTAATTTTATTCTAAACAATTTTGTGTACATTTGTACACTTTTACAGATCTGTAGAATTTTTGAAAATAGTTTTTGCAAATAAGTGATTTTTTTGTGTGCGTTTTTGTTTTTGACATCCTTCTTAGATTATAATTACTGTGCTTGTAAGTTTAGCCCACACACTAAAGTGAAAATTAATCAATTCATCATCTTACAGAGGTTGCAGTTTTAACAGAAATATTAAATAAATAAATAAATAAATGGCCACAACTGCAACAAAAAAAGTTTCAACTCCTTTAGCTGTAAAGAAAGCACACAGCTGATTATTAGTTACTAAACAACAGATGTTTGAAACTAAAGCCTAATGTTTTTGTCATAATTTTTAAATATTAGTACTGTTGAGTCTGGGTCAGAGCTTGGAATCTGATCCTCCGTTTGTCATCCACATTTCTGGACAGAAAAGCGTTTTCGTGTTTCTGTTGGCTGCGAGTTGTAACCACATCTGTCTGAGGCTCCTCTCAGTGATGTCAAGGCTGCTGTTCATCTTTCCAGTTTTCCTTTGTGATCATGTGGAGGAGGCGAGAAATAAATCCCTATTCAGTGTCAATCAGGCAGGTTTTTTCTCCTGATTTTTATTCAAAATGGGCTTGGTTCAGGCTGAAGAGAGTTTTCTGCATGATGAGAGGCTTATTTGTGCGATCCCTCTGATTAAGTTATGATTCTATACATCGGTCTGTGATCATGATAACTAATAACCAAGCCTGAGTTTAACAAGAAACTAATCCAGTGGACTTTAATTAGTTTCTGTTCTCATTTTTAGAGCGTTTTATTTTTCCTGCACAACCAAAACTTTCACTTTCATTACTCATTCGTCTGCTCGGTTTTCTCCGGTCCCAGCAGACTACTTTTGAGAAATTTTGTCTTCATTTAGTTTCCTCCAGCAGCACAGTTTTCAATGACAAATTGCTTTTCTAAATAGGCTCGGTGCCACAGCGCTGTTTGTTTGCTTCACACTGCTACCATGGTTTTTGAAGTTTACCTCCAGACTAAATGGAATAACGTCTGGTCATGCCGAGTTTCATTTACATGGGAAGAAAGACGGTTTGGATCTCAGGATGATGTTGCATCCAAGTTAACCGTGTTCCAGTTGCAAACAGAAACCCGATGAGAGTAACACACGCTGTGATGGATTTAACAAAAAATAAACCTAACAAAGTTCTAAATTAACCTCATTAATAAACACCTATAATTTAGAAGGTGGCCATATTGGATTTGGAGGTTGGCGCTATTGAGGAATCGCTTGAGTCAGAATTCCAAGATTAAAGAACAAGTAACCCCTTCCCGAGTCTTAATCCACTCCTACTTCCTGTATGAAAAATGATACAAATGCTGTTGCCTGGCAGACTGAGAGGGCAGAGCCAATAACAAATACATACACACACACACACACACACAAGCTCACAATGGCATAGTGACATCATATGGTACCAGCGGATGTCATAGATCATATCTTACCCAATAACGACGGTTGATTTAAATTCAAATGCTGTGCAGAGTTTTTACCTGAAGAGGGCGCAACACAGAGTTTTAGGCAGAAAATAAAAATTTTAACTAAGGTGCTCTAAAGTACTCAATTACTGACTGCATGTGTCTACAGCATGATTATACACTCATTTTTATAGTTTACCAGCACAAAAAAAAAGTTGATTTGGGGGTGATTTGCTCTTTGAGGGACTTTCCAGAGAAGTCTGATTCACGCCGATGCAGTACGGAGGCGATCCTGTTTTTGTACGGCTTCTGGTCGGACTGCTGTTCACACTGATTGTGGTTCGTGTGTTTGGTTCCAGGTATCTGCTCCCACAAGAGTATCAAATGATAAAAAATTTGACATAGCTTGTTTAATGATATGTATACCTGTAAAATAATGTGAAGTATCATATACGGTAAACTGACATCCCTAAAAACACGAAAGCCCGCAAAAATATAGCTACACAAGTTTTATATGAAATATACCCAGATGCACCTCGCTGAAACACGTCTTACTTCCTGTCTGGCTCATGTAATTTCCTTAACTTCGTGACAATTTGCATGCAGAATCTGGGAAACGTAGACTGCATGCAGACACTCTTCGGATCGCCACATCTCCTGGTGTGAATGCTCGCCCGTTGCTAGATGTTTTAAAAAGTGTCCTCTTGAAACATCCACATGGGTTGTTGCAAACATCTCAAACACTTCTCAGTTTAGTTTTCATGTGTCAGAACATGCAAAAATGTGAACGAACATTGTGACAGATCTGCAACAAAATTGCAAACAATAGTTAAGACTTTTAAATCAAAGG